GTCAGTTTAAGAATTGACTGGGGACGTCCTTCAGTGGAGTGGGCATTAGATGTTAGGAAGGTCCTAGGACAGGGGTCGGCAAACTGGCCCCTGGAGTGTGGCTCTTCCACAAAATACCACGTGTGGGCGCGCACATACGGTGCGATTGAAACTTCACGGCCCATGCCACAGGGCCAAAGAGCCACCTGTGGCTCGAGAGCTGCGGTTTGCCGACCACTGTCCCAGGACAATGACTGTCTACAACATCCCACCTGATGGCAGAGGCCAGCGACGGTATGAGCTGTGCTGACGGGAGACTTCCTGCATCTGGGGAACCTAGTGGTCCTTCTGTCTCTCCCCGTGCTTTGCCTTTCGGTGGGTCCAACACAGCTGGTGCCTTGTCTTTTCAGCTTTGCCGAATCCACACGGTGAGGGAAACGATTGCTTAAAAACGATGTTTAGTGCAATCTTCTGAGGATACTACCCTGTGTTAGAGAAAGCCCTTTTATTTGGCCCTTTTTTAAGCCTTGAATTTTTTTTCTCATCTCATCTTTTTGTCAGTTGGCCTCATAAATATTCATAGAGGAATTGACCCAAAGTAAGAGTTATTCTAAAAATCTTTCTAAGCCTTTCAGCTACGCTTCAAGTAATTATTTGAATATGATCTCTGCCCAGTTATACTATTGTAAAACTAGTGAGTAATCCGTTTTGGGAGTTATTTTTAAAAATTTAATCAGGATTTCAGAAATCATAGGATCTGATGTGAAAGAAGAGTCATTTTTCATTAATCTTCGGTCATAAGTGCCTCCATGTCCTGGAGCTCTCAGGCTTCAAGCCTCTGTCCTGATCGTCTCGCCTCCCCTGGTTGAGAAGGATGGAAGCCATGGCCGAGCTGGACGCGTAGATTCAGGCCCACAGCCCAGACGTGGACCGTAGTGAAGTTTGAACAGCAGGCAGGCCTTTCAGGTGGGCAGAAAGTGGGGTGGCCCTTAAGCTGCGAGAACAGACCTGAGGAGCGTGCTGTCTGTGGGAGAGGCTCCCCGGACGCTGACCGCAGACGCGGTGGCCTGGGCTGCAGCCCCGCCTTTTCTGTTTTCCCTTGTAGACTGTGTAGTGCAGCAGCTGCTAGTTTTGTCCACACATGGTCACCTTTTGTACCTCATACAGAAAATTCACCTTCCCCTTTTGCCAAAAGTCCCCCTTCATCAAACGCCTGCTGTTCACCCACTGAGAAGTGGACAACAATGGTCTCCTTGAGTCTCTCCAACTAGAATAAGAAATCCCCAGAGCTGAGCCCTGACATCACATCTCTTTGGTGTGTTTTCTGGGAAAGTCTAGTTTAGCCTGAGGGTCACTAACATGTGTGTGATCTGGGGAGAGTAACTCAGCGTCTCTGAGCCTCAGTCCCCTTGTGTATAAGGTCTTTACGTACTTTTATTATTTTTTTAATAATTATTGTTGAAAGTATTACATATGTCCCCTTTTTTCCCCCATTGACCCCCTCCAGCCCGCCCCTGTCCCCTCACCCCGCCCCAGGCCTTCAGCACCCCATTATCTGTGTCCATGGGTTATGCATTCAAGGTCTTTGGTTGATTACTTCCCACCACCCACCCTCCCCGCCTTCCCTCTGAGACTCCGCACTCTGTTCCACGCTTCCATGTCTCCGGGTCCACTCTGTTCATCAGTTTATTTTGTTACTTAAATTCCACATGAGTGCGATCAGGTGATACTTGTCTTTCTCTTACTGACTTATACAGTATGGGGTTTCCTCAAAACATTAAATGTGGATCTGCCATTTGATCCAGGAATATAGCCTAAGAAACCTGAAACAGCACTCAGAGAGAATGTATGTACCCCTGTGTTCATAGCAGCACAAGTTACAATAGCGAAGATCTGGAAACAGCCCAAGTGCCCATCAGCAGATGAGTGGATAAAAAAGCTGTGGTACATTTACACCATGGAATACTTGCAGCTGTGAAAAAGAAGCATCTCTTACCCTTTGAGCCAACATAGAGGGCCCTGGAGAGTATCATGCTAAGTGAAACAGGTCAGTCTTTGAGCGGTTTTAGGCGCTGTAAGCTAGCACCACGCTCAGTGCTTGGCATGGAGAGGTGCTCAGTAAGTCATAGCTGCTGGCACTGTTAGTGGGCCGTCATTTGTACAGACTCTTCAATCAAGTTACCAGTTTTAACTCTCGAGCCTTTTGTTCTTTATTATTCAAGACCTTAAGTATGGAGGGAAGTCCAGCTACCTTCATGATGAACTGCGCTTAAGACCCCGAAAGATTGAGCGGGAGGGTATTGTACTTTCTCTGTTTATCTGTAGCTGTTCACCTTGGTCATCTGTAGGGGAGGGCTCACACTGGATTGAAAACCAGCAACGGCAGAAACAGAATAACCCGTCCTTATCCAGAGTTCTCTTCTACTTCTAGTGGGATTGTTTTGTCCTTGAAGATAAAGATACATAAGCTAAAATACAATGTTAGAACTTACAGTTGTCTTGATCCTGCGGGTGACAATTCCAAGATCAGTGTCTGTCTTTCAGAGCGATGGTTAATGCAGGCCTCATGCTCCTGGAATTCTGGGCCCTGGAGAATTCGACTCCCTGGGCTTGTGGTGGAGTCAGTGAACCGTTTTCTTGCTGCCTTTCCACACCTGTGAGGAGTGCTCTTAGCCTGTCTTTCCGGAGCACTCAGTGATTTCCAGTCATTGATTCTCAAGCTGCTGCCTTCTGCCTCCCATTGAATTTCAGGCTCCTGTGCCTGGACCCCCGGCCCAGCCCCTCTCCCGGTGCTGTCCCCGCCCGTCTGAGCCTGTCTTCCCACTCTCCACACCTCTTCCTCCATGGTCCCCACGTCCAGCTTATGCTCATTTCAGAGCCTCTCTTAGGCCGTTTCCCCTGTCCCCCCTGAGTCATAGTCTGTCATCTTGTGGGTCAAGCTGATGGGGCTGTCGCTCAGCTGCCTTTCAGTGTTCCCTAATGACACTTGGTCTACTGCAGTAACCCTCAGCCTTGGCTGCTCAATGGACTCATCTGGGAAGCCTAGAGAAGGTCCCGGTGCCTGGTTCCCACCCCCACAGGCTCAGACTTCATTGCTCTGCGGTGTGACCTGGGCAAAGGGATGCCCTCCCCGGTGACTGCACCTGCAGTAGACCCGCTGGTCTACAGGCCCCCTCAACCCCAAGCTGAGTCCGTGTTCTAATAACAGCTGCTTGTTCCCCAGTGACTTGTATACTGCAGTGTTTTAAATAGTTCCTGTGAGTATGAAAACATTTAAGGAGCTGTTTCCCCTTTGGGGAAATTTGATAGATTTAGGGGCGGGAGGTTCTGATGTTGACAGTCCAATTCTAGAGCATCTCTGGGCTCACCTGACAACAGCCCCAGCCCGTGCCAGGTCTCAGCTGTGCCAGGCACTGTGCTGAATGCACCCTACGCTCATCACATTCACTGGCCCGTTGGAAGCCTCACAAGCCCGTTTTTGAGCCCGTTTTTGCCCTGTGATCATGAGGATCCTGAGGTCCAGAGAGGCTCATCTACCTGCCCAGGGCCGCACAGCAAGCAGTGCTGAACCTGAGCCCAGCCTCGCCCCTGGGGAGGAGCACGTTCACTAAGTAACTTCCTGCTTTAGCTTTGGGGGTGCACTTTTAAATTGGGTTGCATTCTTTTTGTATATCGAGAGGTTCAGTCCCAACTTGCCTCGATATATCGGGACTGGGAGGCTATTTTGCAGTTTAGTTCTTTTCATGCCCTCGGGAGACGTTACTTTATTTTTTATTTTTAAATATATTTTTGATTTCAGAGAGGAAGGGAGGGAGAGAAAAACATAGAAACGTCAATGATGAGAGAGAATCATTGATTGGCTGCCTCCTACACACCCGCCATGAGAGATCGAGCCTGCAACCCAGGCATGTGCCCTTGACCAGAATCCAACCCACGACTTGTCAGTCTGCAGGCCGACACTCTATCCACTGACCCAAACTAGCTAGGACAGGAGACGTTACGTATTTTAGAAAAGCATCTTGCTTACAGAACCTAACCTAGTAGAACCCACCCCAGCCTCTACTTCGTCTTCCTAATATTTCTTTGAGGTGGTGAGTAGGCAGTGTCATCCCCATTTTGAAGAGAGGGTAACTGGTGTGCCAAGTATTAATGATGTCTGAAATATTAGTAATAGCTCACTAATTGGGTACTTATTAAGTGCCAGGCTCTGACCTAAGCTGTTTACATCCTGCGTGATTACCCTCGTCTTCTAGATGAGGAAACCGAGACCAACACAGGTGAAGCGACTTGCCCAGGGCGCAGGTGGTAATCGGGTGCCATGTTTGTTGGCTTGTTTTTAAAATTCCTTATGAGCAAAGTTGCAAGACACGGGCTTCATTTGCTCCCCAGCCCTGGCCTCCGCCGTGTGTGCATGGGATCTGGACAACCATGTCTGAAGCCATTGACGCATGAACCGGATTTTCTGTGTGTCGAATGGCCATTTAATAGCTATTGTGAAACAGAATTTTCTGCCAACCTTGACTATCACACTGAGGTCAAGCAGGCTCTAAATACCCTTCTCCAGCCATCCCCACACCAGGCTGCTTTGGTGTGAACAGTCCCCGAAGGTGAGAACGGCCTCTTGGCGCATTTTCACTCTCCATCCATGTCAGAGCTCTGCTGTTTCTCACAGTTTCAGGTTAATGACAAGGCCCTGTCACGATGCTGGGCACTCCATTATCCCATGGCACTAAGTGCTCAGGACGGGAACCCACCTCCCCTTCTTGCTCATTATGAATGGGCCAATTTAGTTTTTCTCTCTTCAAGCATCTATAACCTTATTTTCTGGTTCATTAACATATGTACACACACACACACACACACACAATTCTGTAGGGAGAGTAGCTCTTTATGAAGAAAGGGATTGGCCGTGTGCTGAGCGGATGGGGTCTCAGGGAAAAGAAGGCACCGAGCAGCGTGTCAGGGGAGCGGGTCCCTAATTGAGTGCAAACCCGTTAAAGAATGTTGTTTATCCCCTACAGGGCATACAAAACCATTGAGGATGATGACTTGAAGTTTCCCCTAATATACGGAGAAGGCAAGAAGGTAGGCATCACCTCCCCCAGACGGGAACAAGGCCGTCTCTGCAGAGCCAGGGCAGCCTGTCCGTTCCACTCTGCAGCGCCTGGTCCTACGGCCCTGACAGCTGAGAGAGTCACCTCCCGTGTCCTTCAGGCTCCTGTCCTCAGGGCCCCAGGAGTGGCAGGTTTGGGAGGGGGTGCGGCGAGCTCGGGATTGGGGGGGAGAGTCAAGTTTTGTGAAAATAGCAGCCCCCCTTTACCATGTGCAACATGACCACTTTCACATACATCAGCGCATCGTGCATCTGACAAGCCACAGGCAGGCAGAGCTGGCGGACGAGGCAGCTGAGACTCGAGGTTAGACCCACTCAGGCATGGCCACACAGCTGCAAGGGGTGGTCCCCGATGCGGATCCGGGGCCCTCTGCCTCCTCGTGCTCACACCGCACCTGCAAGTCTGCTTCTCCACGTGGCCTGTGGGAGGGCACCCAGAGCCTTACTGTGACGAAGCTGTAGGACCAGAGGGACCCACGCGCGTGCTGGGACAGCACAGAGCATTCCTCACCCGCACCCAGGCCCCGTCAGCACCGCACGCTGAGCAGCAGGCACTGCTGACGCGGAGGAAGCTGTCGTCTCAGAGGGTCTGTGCACAGAGCCTGGGGGAGGCTGCCGTCCTGGAGCGGAGATGAGGCTCTGAAGCCAGTTCCCAACCAGAACAAACACCTTCTGAGTCACTGCATTCTCCCTGCAAACAGAGACGTTCCAGGCAGGTGCTGAGTGCCAGTGAGGAGGGAAGAATGTGGCCACGTTCCGAAGAATGTTCAACTGACATTTCCCAGGATTTGATCGTTTTTAGCAGGAGGAACTGACTCATAAGAAAACTGGAGGATGCCTTCCTGAGCAGAACTGTGTGTGCGTGCGCGCGCGCGTGTGTGTGTATGTGCGTGTGTGCGCGTGCGTGCGTGCGCATGTGTGCGTGTGTGTGCATTTGCGTGCGTGTGCGTGTGTGTATGCGTGTGCACGCGCGCGCATCTGTGAGAGAGGGAATGAGTCAGTCAGATTTGAGAGCTGCGTGGAGCCCAGCGGTGATTCCATGGGAAGGCATTTCATGGAGGGAAGTGAAACATGACTGTCTAATCCATTCAGTGACCACTTTTCAAACGAACTTGCCCCTTTCCTGGAGACGGGACACCTGTCTCGCGGTCCATGGCTGAGGATCGTGACAGGAAGGCTCTGTTCCCGAGAGAAGTGCTGGAACCTTTCCGCACCGGGGGTGCCATTAATGCGACCGCTCAGCCCAGTGCCCAGCGGCACCTGGAGTTCCCCGTGGGCTGAGATTCTCTGTGTCTCCTGCGGCGCCAGTGAGACCAGGGGGCTCAGGGCCACGTCCTCCGAGGGCTGTATGCCTAGTCCCTGTCAAGCCTGGCACCTGGCACAGGGCAGGCCTTCAGCAACCGCATGAGGATTGAGTCAGCCACTCCCTTATGTTCAGTGTACGTCCTCCACATAATGAAAATGGACAGATGTGCTCTTTGAAGATTATCAACAGAAAGATTTAAAGGAGCAAGGTTTTCCCAGTCAAGGAAAAGTTCCATTTACCAGGACATCGCACTTCTCCAGCGTGTCAGGTAATTGGGGCTCGGCAGCCCTGTGATGTGCAGCTGGCCGGTGCTGTCGCAGGAGCTGTGACCTACTTAAAGGCCGCATGGCTCCGTCGCCCGGCTGCCCCTCACCCAGGCAGCCCAAGGCAACTTCACCAGCAGTGCGTCCGTCCATCCATCCATCCGTCCATGCCACCCCATCCTTTAGGCGCTTCCCTCTGTATACGCCTGCCCAGGAGTTTCCGAATAGAATACCACAGCTGTCACTTTTCATTTTATTTCTGCCAGTGCTTTCAGCCTTGTGGGGTGACACTATATACTTTGTAAACTAACTCAGTAACTATCAGAAACATCACTATGTTTTGGACCAACACGCCCACCTGTGCTTCCTGCAGCCAGAGGAGGTGCCAGTGCAGGGAGAAGAGCAGGGACGCAGTTTCCACATTTAGAGTTGAACACTTAACTGGCCCCCTCCCACCCTTGGCAAAGCAGAGGGTTTCTGCAGAGACGTGGCTCCCCGACCTGGAGCGAAGATGAGGAGGCTCTGAAGCCAGATCCCAATCAGGACAAACACCTGAGTCACTGCGTTCTTCCTGCAGACAGAGACATTGCAGCCAGGTGCTGGGACCAGAGGGCCCAGCTCCACATCAGTGTCTGCATTTTATCCCCTGAGATTCCTGCCTTTCATTTCCACGTTTAATGTAAACTTGCCCACCTTCTGATCTAAACCCAGCTCCAAACTCCACAGCCTTTTGGGGAAACCAGGAGGAAGGTGATGGTGATGTGTGAGATTGTAAAATTTCTTAGCATTTATGAGTTATTCTTACTACCCGAGCAATGAAGTGAGGATTCAAGCTCGGAGCGTTGAACGTGCACCACACACATCACCGATGACCCAGTGGTAGGGCATCGAGCTTCCCTCCACCCAGAATGAGCTTCATCCCTCTGAGTTCATCCCTCTGTGATGCTGCCTGTGCTTCTTCATAGAAATTTAGTGCCACCTCCATGTAACCTTCTCAGCAGAAGTTTTACCTCCTCTGAACTCACACCACCCATTGTTTATGTGTCTTTCATATTGGCCATGTGCCCCTTCTCTCCCTTACCAGGTTCCTTTATAGTAGGGACGAGTCCATAGACATTCGTCCCCCACAGCATGGTGTCTGCACTAAACGTCTGGGTAGATCAAATCTGTGGCATCCTGGGAAGTATGAAGGCTGAGTGCGTAGGCATTAAGAGTAATAGTCTTGCTTCCATGAAGTGTTCAGAAAACCAGAAGCGCACCGGTGGTGGGGTCTCAGCCTGGAGGCCTCTGTGGGGCAATTCCCTCTTGTTAACCCACCCAGAGGGAATTTGTGGAGAAAGGGAAGGTTGCACGTTGCTAATGGTTTATTTCCTCCAGCCATAAAGTGTAAAATATGAGCTTTGGGAGGCTAGGAGCTGCCACTGACTTCTTTGCATCTTTTACTAGTGCCTATTACGGTGCCAGAGATATAGCTGGTGTTCCGCAAGTACTTGTGGAGTGGGTGTATGACAGACAGATGGACAAAGGGATGGATGCTGTTGGATTTGGTTGGAACTGAAATTAGTAGCTGTAGACATCACACTTGTATTGGATTTAGTTTATTGGACACCCTTCCCTCCTGTCTCTACAAAAGAAAGCTGGAAAGAGATAACAGCCACCCATCAACCTTAAGATAACTGGTGGAAAAGCCACTCGCTAAGGACATAAGTGATCTTGGTGAGCGAGCCCTTCCTTGGAAACAGCTACCCACATTGGTTAGCAGCAAGAGGCAAGAGGAATTGGGAAAGTATTGCTTCCCTCTGGGCCCATGGCGGCTGCACTGCTCGTACGTGGGAGTGTTTCTCATGACCCTCTGCTTTCCTCCCAGGCCCGAGTGATGGCAACTATCGGAGTGACCAGGGGCCTGGGGGACCATGACCTGAAGGTGCATGACTCCAACATCTACATAAAGCCATTCCTGTCTTCAGCTCCAGAGGTACTGTTTTCGTTTCTATTTTGTACAATAAAGTATTTTCTTACTTTGTTCCTCCTGTGACTCTCACCTCATATCCAACTGCAGTCGGCTTGTCTAGCATGTACTTCTGCGCTCTCTCTCATGTCTGTTGCTCCTTCCCACCCCATTCTCACATTGACTGTCCTGTTTCTACCCTCATGGCCTCTGTCCTGGTAGCTGCATACCCTCCTAGTGGCATCCCCTGCCTCCTCGATCCACCCCACATATGGCTATTAAGTAGATTTTCCCAAACAGCTACTGTGACCTTGTTTGCGTAGAAGCTTTAAACAGCACATGACCTGGAGAATAAAGCCCAGACTCCCTTTTTTTGGCATTCAAGGCTTGTTGTAAATTGGTCTTTTTAATCTGATCTTTGTTCCCCTACTGCAGCCTGAAGGAATTTACTATTTCCTACACATGACTTTCAGTTTCCCGTATTTACCTAACCGATTCCTTCTACCTCAAATGCCCTTCCTACCCATCTCCATCCACCCAAATTCGTTTTTTCTCTAGAATTTAACTTAAATGCTCCTCCTGTGGAGACTTCTGTGACTCCCCCCGCCCCCCTCAATCCACAGTAATGTCTTCCCCCTACTCCAGATGGAGAGCAGCTGCCTCTTACTAGTACAGCGTGTGCACTTCTGCCTTATAGCATAGTTGGTGATGTATATTTTCCTCTCCTCTTAGATTTTGTTTTGTTTTGTTTTTTTGTTAATCCTCACCAAAGGACATTTTTCCCATTGCTTTTTAGAGAGAGTGGAAGGGAGAGGGTGAGACAGAGACAGAAAGAAACATCGATGTGAGAGAGACACATCAATTGGTTGCCTCCTGCACACACCTGGACCAGGGCCAGGGAACCTACAACCAAGGTACGTGCCCTTGACCGGAATTGAACCAGGACCCTTCAATCCACAGGCCGATGCTCTTTCCACTGAGCCAAACTGGCCAGGGCTCTCCTCTTAGATTTTTAATTACCTGGAGAGCTGCTATCATTCAGTTGATATATGGAGAAGCTAATTGAAAAGCTAGTCATAAATTTGGGTTAAAAAAATCATTTTTCATACAATACAGGAAATAATATCAAGGTCTATTTCAGAGTACATAATTGCAAAAAGATTTTGCTCCTAAGTTATAGAAAAATCTAATGGTAGTTTAGGGATATGCTTTTCTCACATAACAAGGCGTCTGCTATTTGGGGGCTGCCAGTGGCATGGCATCTCCAATGTGGCAGGGCTAGAATCTCTCTTGTCTGACTTTCGCTTTGCCGTTGCAAGATGGTGGCAGCAGCTCCAAGCATGACATTTTCACACAACCCAGGAGGGACGCTACTCTCTGTCCTGACAGACACTCACTTGCAAATCTTTGGCCAGAACTATCTCACATGACCTCCCCTCGCTACAGGCGAGCCCGGGAGGGGGAGAGCTTTATCTTTTTGGACGTCTGCGGGAGAAGGGAGCCAGGGAGCAGGGAGGAGTGAGGCGGGTTGCCTCCCGTGGGGCTGGTGGTTGAAGTGAAGCCTTGTGCTGGAAGGGCCCAGGATGTTCAGCCAGGGCTCTGTCTGCATGTTCTTCCAAGGGGCGGAGCTGTGTGAGCGAAGGCTCTTTCTGTTGGAGGAAACAGAAACCCACTCAAGCTAACTCAGGAAAAGGGACATGTTTATTCTGAAGCTGTTGGAAGAGATGTTTGTGGTGTCTACTAGAAGAACGCGTGAGCCGCCAGGCTATGTGGGGAGGTGGTCCTGGGCCAGTGCGTCCTGGAGAGCCTCAGCAGGGGGAGGCTGTCCCCTTCGTGAGCGTGCTGCCACTAATGGGCCCAGCCAGGTTCTATGTCTCTGCTGCCAGTCAACCCAGTTTCTCCCTTTCCTGGATCCCGATCACCAGAGGGGAATCTCATTGGCCGCAGTCTTTCCCGTCCGTAGATTGCCCCTTCAGTCTGTGTGTCCCCTCCACAACCACTGGTGGGCACCGTCACCTAGGCCTGCCCCTTTGGCAGGGCTGTGAGCAGGGATCGTTTCTTCTCTTGCTGAGGCTGGCATCCAAAATACACCCAACCACAGGCAGAGGAGGCCACCGAGAGGGAGGTCCCTAGTAAGTATCAGTCAGGCATGGAAGACACACAGATTTCCTGAGATCACCTAGGATGTCAGGTGAGGTTAGCTGGGTAGAAGCTCATCAAGAGCTTGCAAATGTCTCCCTTTAGCCCTCCTAGCAATTCTGCGTGATGAGGACCACTATTACGTCAAAGCATCCTGGTCCCTCGGTTCTGGTCCATATCAGGATCCATAGATTACTGCTGAAACGGTTCCTGGCCAGAGAAAAACAATCAATACTAACCTCAGGCATTTCTATGTTTTCCCCCTTGGGAGAGGCACTTATCAGACATATTCAGTGGTGCCGTCACCTTTCTGCCTTCCAAAAGGGACAGACGCAGTGCGACGCGTGTTCCCGTGGCGGCGAGTGTCTCGGGAAACACTAAGTAACCATTTTGCTCCTTGAAGCAGTGAAAACCTTCTCACCTCCCACCCCCAGACACACATATGCTTTCTATATAAAGTGAGAAGAGGCTTGGTTTGGTTTGAAGAATGATCTCTAATGCAGTTAAATTATAGCGATTCCAGTCGTTCTGCTGCTGTGCAGCCCAAGAAGCGGCTGTAGCTTTAAAACGTGGGCCTGTGTGGGACACTCCCTGAGGACGGATGCAGCTTCCCAGCTGGTTGATCAGAAACCCCAGTCATCTGTCCTCCGTGATGCCGGTTTGCAGGGAAGTGGGTTGGTTGGTCCCACATTGGTGAGGAATGAGGAAGGATTCAAGAGGAAACTGGCAATCTTCGGAAAAACTTACATGGTCTTAGAGAAGTGTAGAGTTGAATAGAGTGTTGAGTTTTTATAATAATAATAACAGGTCACATTTGTTAACTACTCAGTCTGGACCAGACAACATACTTTATTTATTTTATATATGCAGTATCTCATTTAATGCTCACAGCTCTGTGAACTACAGGTGATTATTCCACCCCTTTTATAGAATGGGAAATTGAGACCCAGGGAAGTGAAATAACTCCCCCAACAGTGTGCAGTTATTAAGTGGCAAGATGGTATTTATACCAAGGTCTGTCCAATTCAATCTGTGCGCATAGGGGAGAGAAGCCGAGCTCAAGGATATTTCTTTGGATAGTGGCCAAGGGACCCACTGAGTGCTGGTTCGAGGGGCTCTGAAGAGAGACCTTGGTCTTGGGACCTCAGTGTCCAGTTTTTCAGAGAAATACTGCCAGCCTCAGACTTAAGTTGTAGGAGAAGATGAGATGATGATGTAGTAGAAAAAGTAATTGGGAAAGGCAGTAATGGCGTTCAGTGTGTGCCAACCTGGGCCAGACAGAATTGTGCAAAATAAGATTGTGTACCTGTAATTTAGCTTGATGGGTATGTTGTATAGATCCCAATATTCCTTTGCACGAGATTAAAATTGTTGTACATTGTAAATGCTTCCAGATGGAGCAGCCTTAGGCAGAGCCAGGAAAGGCGGAGGGAGATGAGAGGGAAGAGGAGGAGCCCCTTGGATTGGCTACCATGGAGGAGTGTAGAGAAAAGATGATGAGTACAGGGGACCCTCGCCCCCATTCTGGGGACAGGAGCCTCTTTCCCCGAGGGGCAGTATTAAAGGCAGTCTCTAGAGAAACAGCTAGGGCTTCTGTTGGGAGCCCAGGAAGCCAAGTGAATGGATTTAAACCATCCAGTGCAGAACCGCGGACTCCCTTCCTGTCCTCATCGCCCATCCCCACTCGGCCCC